TCGTAATTTTTGTTTAAACAAGTTAGACTACTATTCATTGTATACATTCTTGCATACGTTGTTTATTCTAAGCAATTATATCTCTACTTTGCTATTTCAAAAATGTTACACTTGTTCATCGAATTTAGTGTTCATTTGCAAAAATTGTCGAGTATGGAATTGATCCAAAGTACAACGTACATGTTTAGATTATTTCATTGAGACAAGTTTTCTGTATTGCCTGTAATAAATAAAATCTCTTTCATAAATTATCATTTCCTTACGTAGTATTTTTTCAGAAATATATAGTATATATACATATGTGTCAAACATTTAGTATTGGAATATTGCCAAAAATCCATTATACAACTAGAATTTTCTACGGTTTTCATGTTTGTTATGTTTTTGTCCTTGTACCAACTACGATTTATGCTTATCGATTTAACATTCAATTATTTTCTTTCAAAAAACTAATATATACTTTTAACAGTTCACTGTCGTATGACTCAAGACTCAAGTTTGATATTTTAATCAATAAGTTCAGATTTTTTAACATTTATGGGTAAGTCTTTATTTAAAACTGTAAGAAGTATCAGCATCATTCGGTTTTTTAATAAACTGGTAGGCTTTTCAAAATATATCTGCGGTTCATAGAAGATATATGTATTTTTTTCTTAAACTGAATTGTAAGTGGATATATCGATACATCAAATTACTCGCCAAAGGAAACTGGCGTCCGGACTTTCGACCAACTTTCTGAGGACTGATTTATTCAAACACAATTGTCGGCATATGAGATATACGGTGAGTTATATTTTGTATTGTCAAATTGTATAGTGGGTACCGCGAATAATAATGCTGCCGCTGATTTTTATTGCAATACAAGTGACATTTCAAAATGATCTTAAAAGGCAAATATTTCTTTAATAAAAGTCAACACGTGATTTATTTACGACTTTTTTCAAATATGTAATATGTTCAAACTTACAGACATCAATCAGTGAATTGTTTTTTTCTTACATTGTTTTTTTGTACATATCAATACTTTTAATTTAGATATGTATAAACCAAAATGATCTGCTATTAGGTATTATGACTGATTAGTTGACAATTATAAATACATAGTTTTTAATGTTCTAGTTATATCATTTTATTTAATTGTATTGTAGTCAATTTGAAAAATGTATATATTTTTTTTTTATTCTCCTTTTAGAATATGAATGTATTGATTCTAATACATCATAAGATCACTTGTTATTTTATTGTCATTATAAATCTGTAATTCTATTTGGAACGTTCACTATTAGTTGTAACTAACAAAACTAACTCTCTAAAGAGCAAATTAATAATAAAAAAGTGTAGTTATTTCATTTAATTACCATGAAATGTGTAACATAAATAATATCAAATCTGTATCAAAATGTTTATCATACAATAATAAGTACAAACACATGTACAACAATATCAGAGTAATAAGGATTATTACGGATAAATAATTAAATAAAGAATAAAAGTCGATGAACAAACGGGTATTATAAAAGAACTACTACCCGTTGCAAGCAGGTATTATTGTACTAAGCTTGACATCAAAACGTCTGCTTAAAATAAAAAAAGCCCGCAATTTACACAGCCTGCCTTTTGTAAAATAGTTATCATTTTGTATAATTAAAAACACAAAACACGTTTAAAAATCCATTTTAAAACTAACAAGAACACTTTAACGGTTTTATTTTTAAATTAAACTCATTACTTTAATATTATTTACAGGTATTATATGAATTAACATGTATCACAAAAAATGTATTTAAGTACAATAACATAAGTATTATTTAATAATTTGGTGACTATGAGTTTTGCAATTACAACATCATCAGGATACTGTTTATAAATAGTTTTAAAAATGTATCTAGCCATAATAAAAGCCCATAAAAAAATATATTTTTAAGGTACCAAAAATTGAGTTATAGTTATTCTAATTTAGTTATAACATTTCGTTTTAAATTTACAATATATTGATTTCAAAAAACTACTCTGGTTACCAAATAATATACATGAGAAAATATTATGGCATTGTTTTTATATGGATTTTTTGTTTTCTATTAACATATTAATTATATTCAGGTTATTTTAACAAGGTGTAATTTATTTGAAAACTTTTCTACTACTGTATGATGCCAAGTCGATCAGTTTTAATTAAATACTTTTATTATTATTTACAGCTGCAGCTTAAAAAAAAATGTGAATGTTATTTTTCCTAAACTTAGTTAAGAAAAAAGCACTTGAAATACAGTTCTATTATTATGGAGTAGTTTCGTTGTGTAATTGATATAGTTATTGGTAACATTTGTTTCAGTGTTCTCAACAACGATAATATCAGTATTTATAACAAAATGAAAAATAATAACATATATTTATATTTTTTAAATTAATTAACAGTTAGAATAAAAATGTAGGTATGTCAACTGTGTGATGTCATTATTTAGTCATTTGATTGGATTAGATGCAAACAAATAAGGACTAACATTAGGGATGTAAGTACCTAATGCCTTTTCACAAAATAAAGATGCTGCAATCATGTTTTACTTTAAAAAATTATTTATTTCATGCATGTTTACGCATGTTTTACTATAAGTCTAGAGTTAATGTTTTTTTTAAATATTATTTATGATTATTTTTTCATTTTAGTTTCGGTGTTTTGTTGATATTTTGAAAATAAATGATCTATCATAACATGTTATTTTAGTGCCTTGTGTTAAATTATTCGACGAGCGGAATAGTGTAGGTGTAGACAAATACTAAGGTTTAAGTTTGCAGTATTAATTAAAGGGAAGTATTATGTCTAGTATGTATACTATATAAAATTATATTATATCGAAATTTAACCTTTTAAACTAATTGGCAAGATTATTTTTAAATTTCTAAAATTGTTACTCTTTCGATTAATTAGGTTTGATGGATTTTATACATATAATATTAATAACAATATTGTATAATATATAAAAGTTACTATTAATCGGCATCACCCCGCCCTAGTCTTTTTTATCGGATACACAGGGGTGCATTGTTAGATACAAATAGGTAGCACATAATATTACAAAATCGAATTTATGTAATTGTTGAGATAAATTAATATTACAAAATTTTAATAATGAAAAAGAAAACAACATGACATGTCATTATCGTACAGTACCTGTTGCTATTTATAACATACAGTAAACTATTGTTTATTTCGAGTATTGACTTTTCCATAAAGTTTATCCATTAACCCACATTATTGTTTACTTCAGGTCCTATCTCCGAAGAGAACAACTCGAAACTCAAAAGGCTTCAAAACAGGTGATAATTTGTTAATTATTGAAATATTAAACTACACACCTATTAAGGGAATTGCATGCGGTGTGTTTTTAAGGAGTTTTGTGTAGGCATTATTTAAGAAGTGGTTTCAGTAAATTTGAATGACCATGTTAATTAATTTTCTAGTTAACCAGTAGGTTCTTCAAGGTATTATTTTTAATTTATAACAATTTTTCTATAAGTAAAACTTAAAAGTTATTTTGGCTTATTTTAGACTAAAAAGGTGGACAAAATGTCTGCTACTTAGGATAATCCAATTTCAATTCTGTAAAGAGTTTCGAGTTCTTTGGCTACTCTACTATGTTATGTAGGAAGCCGATTTTAGTTAAAAAGTCTCAGTTTTTGGTAATTAAATAAATTAAATTTGCAATTTGTTCAATATTAAAACCCAATTATTTTACAGAAAAAAAATCAAGAATCCATTTCCTACATAACCTAATAAAGTTGCCAAAGAACACGTATATTTTTACAGGATTAAAATCAGACCATTCTAAGTAGTAGAAATTTTGTCTGAATTGTTGTTCTAAAAGGTAAAAACACCGACTACATGCAATCTCCTTAAATGACTCAAGCTAACTTAAAAAAAAGCTTATTATCATATTTAATTTGTACTCGGCGGTATTGCAATTATAACTTTGTATGCATACTTATTGCCTACCTTGTACGCCTCACAAAGCAACAAGAAAAAACGGCAAATAGTGTACAAGTGTAAACATAATATTATTTATACCACGTCAGTTCCAGCCATTGTTCTGATGAACATTTTTTTTTAAGGAGGCCATTTTTGTTTCAAAATATTGTAGTCTTTACTATAGTAGTTTTTACTTTTTATTTCACTTTACTCTTTTAAAAAGATATGTTTTTTTTACCATTAATGCGTTTGTATTGTTTAGTCTCCGGTTGAGTGTAATCGACCAACACGGTAGTTAATCCATGTTATGTTTTCTATACGAATAAAAAAAGTACGCCCTCAATGGTATTTTTTGTAGTTTTTAATGTAGTGAAAATTAAATCGAGTTATTACATTTTTTTATAACACTATAAAATTTAACATTTTATGTACAAGAAGTAAGAGGACATAAGGACTATACTCGTATTATGAAAATATTTATCTGTTACCTATTGATTGTTGATTCATTCACACGTCGAAATTTAATACCTGTGAATTGAATACATTTAATATGTAATATTCTTTTTTTTTTGTTTTGGTGCCTTGAAATTAAAAAAAAATGTTTTGCCTACAGCTTTTAGAGAAATATTATATATGTTATAATCGCAATTTAAATCTACCTTTAATCTCATTTTCAGACCCTAAGTTACAAAACTACGCTCGAAAAAGTGAAATAAAGGAAAAATTTCAACCCCATATTAGGGGGAAACTGTTTTTTATATTATTTTACTTTATTAACGTATGTCGATAGTGTCATAGCAAAAAAAAAAATTAACTTAGTATTTTGGAACAATTAGACCATTAATAAAGTACCTTTTAAGCAGTAGTTCGTAGGACGAAGGGAAACTAAACCTGACTGTTGTACGGTTTGATTCTATATTGTATTGTGTACACAAGAACTTGGTAGCATTGCAACAATGTGTAGTAAACGATGACGATAACTCATAACTGGTATATTGTAAAGTGTAAAATAGGGTTTGTTATAATATTATATTACCTGGTTGTGTGCAGTCTACTATCTGCGAACGACGGGGGCTTACAGCACGAAGACGACGACTGCAGCGGACCGGTGAAATATTTAAAATATAATTTATCTCTCTTCTGGGGGGTCGGACGCGACGACTATAAGGCAGTACGCAAAACGGACTTTTATGTAAAAAAAAATTAATTAAATAAAATCCCAACTATCGAGATTTCAACTGTTGTGGAAGGATGACCGACGGCACTGCAAACGGTGGCCGTTAAACGCGTGCGAGGGCGAAGCTGTATGAGCGGTATGCGGCCAGCCGATATCCGTCTTTGGTGCCGGTCGTGTTTGTTGCCCGTTTACGTTAGTCACCACTCGAACCGCGTGCGCGCCTTTTGCCGGCGTCCCATTGGCACGATAATTTTACCCGTTTGGTAAAGCTTTAAAAATACAAAAATTAAAACAAATTTAAAATATCGCAGTAAGCGTGTTTCTAGCATTATAGGATTGAAAAAAAAAAAATTACGCGTTTCCAAAGTCTTTTCACTAACAAGCGTGTGCAAAAGATTTGTAGTAAAGATTTAAGAAAAACCTTTGTTTTTTTTTTATCGCCTTGGAAATATATTGCTACCCCTATGTAAACCGTGATGTCGTGCTGATTTCCACTGTGATGACTATTCATATAGTATTTGCTTTATACTATACCTGCATTAATCGTGCTTACTCGACTGAAGCAGTAGTTGATCAAGCAGTTTCAATGTGTCGCATCTCACACAAGTAGAATTTAGAACAATCTCATTAAAACCAAATTACCTCGTGTACTTCAAAAAAAAAAAAAAAGGAACTAATAAAACAAAGCTTTTGTCATTCATTAGCTGTTTATGTAATTTGATCAAGAACATTGTCAATTTGTAAGACGATACCCACGTACAATTGTTTTTATTTTCATGCGTGTCACCCTACCCTTCCAAATGAGCTTACGAATGTATTTTAAAGTTCAAGTTTAAGTTACTTTTAAAAAACTAAAAAAAACGTTAAGGCGTGATTCTTTAATATAGACAATAACATAACGCTGTTTGTATAATTTCATTTTTATAGATACTCTTTCATAAATAAATTTCTAATGTTTTCATACTATATTGAAATTCAACGGAAATCATAAAAAAATTTAAAGCACCTTGGGATACCAAACAATATATTTTAATAAAGTTATTATAAATACTTTTTAATTGTTTACAACCAAATTGATGTTTTTTTCTATTAAATTTGTTTATTTATACTTATATAAATATTCTTGCTATTTCGAAAATAATGATACAACCTTCAAAAGTGTGTAAGGACTAAATTAACTGATATTACATTTTAGTTATTTTATTGCTTAGCTATGGATTTTAACTGCTTTAAACTTCAAAGTCATTTAAATACTTGACACCTCTCATGCTTAATTTGAATACAGAAATAATTAATCAACTATTAAATTTTTTTTTTTACAAAACTAATTTTTTTTTTTAATTTAGTAAATTCTTAATTATTTTATGCTTTTTTTTTGAATCGGGTAAAGTTTCCAAAATAAAGAAATTTAAGTCACAATGAAGTAAATTTACACATTTTAGATACAAAGGAACCCTAGCCTAATAATGCACTAAAATTATTATAGTTTTATCACTTTGAAAGTATGCTACTTAAATATCTAAGAATAAGAAAACAAGTTAGAATGTTGTAATTTAAGTATTTATAATAATTATAGGATTCATTTTTAAAAAATGTATTGTCATTTAGCACGATACAACGGTATGATTTTAGATATAAATGAACAATTGATACACGCAGATATAAAAAAATAGCTGTAGATAATTGTAGTTATAAACAGTATATTATTTTACGAGGATTTATTGAAGTAAATAGACTGCGCTCGGATGGGAAGGTTGTGTCTCGAAAAGCTTAAAGGCATATAGGCGTACGGGATTTAGCCAATTTATAAGTAAAGTCAAGTAAAATATATAGGTCATAATAATTTGTGATGTTGTTCTAGAATTTCTTATTGTTCACGGTAATATATGTTGTAACACGTTTTAAATAAAATTGCAATCCCGTTTTTGTAGACACAATTTTATATTAGGTATACGATATAATCCTAGAATCGTGTCGGCGAATAACAAATAAGAAAAAAATTTATATTTTTCTGTTGTTTGTTCAGCGTGATACCCGAGAGAGTGAAAAAGTTTTTTTATCTTTCACCGTTATAATCCCTACTGAGAATTCGAAAATTGTGTGTAGTCTGTATGATAACAAAGCGTCGCGTCGTAAAGTAGCATGTCAGAATGAGAATATTAAGAGGATTTAAATTAAGGACGTTTTTATTATATTTTATTAGCTGACAAATTTTACAAAAATGAAATTCTAATATTTGCACTTCGGTATTATTCCCAAAACGGGTACTGAAATCTTTCCCTAAAAATATATATTTTTTTTTTTACATTTTGAGTTAAAAGTAAAGTTATGCGGAGTGTTCAATTGTCTTGAATATCCACAAATCGTTTTTATTCCTCGGAAAAGTAAAAAAAAATTTACATTTAGAAAATGTATTTTATAATTTATGTATACAAGTATTAACATACAAATACATTTTGATATCTATATAGTTCAACATACAAATGATTATATACTACCTCAAAACGTTCTCGGATAGCTCATTTAAGTATTTAACTCGAAATGTGTTTGATTTTTATACCGATATTTTTTTGTACTAAATTCTTTCTCTCTAATCAGTGGCGTAGTTTGGTCATGTTTGTGGGGGGGGGGCTAAAAAAAAATTGCATACATTTTACTTATCACCCCCTCCATCCGCACCTATGTATGTAGCTGTATTTTAACTATAAAGACAATATCGTCAGAACAAAATTATATTATATTTATGTTTTGTAAGTTCTTAACATAGCGAGTCTCTTTTAAAATATATTCGTTTACTTGCTACCGTATAGTAGATGGCTCTGTATTAACCTGTTTAGTGATTAACTGCTGGTGTTTTACAAAACTGAACAACAGATATCGCTAGTGTAATCAAGAGTGGCGACGAAAACGATATTTAAACTAATTTTACAATATTTAATAATTGTTGTGACGCATTTTTATGTAATTTAATTTCTTATATTAAAAACATGAATAATAAAAATATATAGTCATTAAATTATTTATATATTGAATTGAACTAATGGTTTACTTAGCTTTAATTACAGAATACTATAATATCACCGTGCGTATAATATTTAATATATTAAGCATTAACTTTTCAGTTGATTTTTATATGTTTTAGTAAAAAAAACCTGTAAGTTACAGTAAGTAACAACGACTGTTGTTGCCATATTTAGTGTTGCTTTTTTTAGAGGCATCAGCAACGAGAGAATGAAACGATTAAGCTAACTCGAACATTATTGGAACTATAATTACATAGTTGTACTTAATCGACAGGTCTCATAAACAACGCTCGTTTTAAGTCCTATAAATAGTCGACCATGATGACCTGAAATTGATCTTCAAGCATAATGTATACTTTTACCATGAGTTGTAAGCACTGTTTTTTTCCCACGATTCTCACCTTCGAACGCTGCAGTTAATCCGGTGACCAGAATCCAAAATATACATTTCAATAAACTCAAACAATCGATCACAGTTTAGGCACATTTGACTTTTATGTCTAATGTATAAATATGGTATTGGAATTACCGCTAGTCTGTACGACAGAAGATGCTTTATGAAAGGAGACCAATCGCCTAGCGATAAAAGAAAAGAGCTGCAAAAACAATGCAAACATGATGTGGCATAGACTTTCCAGCTGAGATATCATGAAAAATATACCTAATATAAATCATACATTATCTCGGGATATGTAAAGCGTGTACACGTTAATACATTGGAAATATCAACGTTTATCTTGTGTTATTTAAGTAAATAAATAATACACGCACGTATGGCTTGAATAAGTGTGGAGATTATTGATTAATTTGTATTTATATGTTATACTAATAATTCGTGTAAAAAATAAATTAACGTAATATTTCTGTTTTATATGTAATTTGTTAATTTTATTTGTAATTGAACTTACTCAGTACTCATTGTAGTATTCTGCTTTGTATTTATATTCTGGTGTGATGTTGTATTATAGTAACGACTAATGATTAATGAGGTTAATTGTAATAAATAATAATCAATTCTAATGTACCCAGTACCGCTGTTATTACTGTTACTTTTTATAGCTAGTACATGGGACAATCGAGTAACTAAAAAACAAACAAAAAGTAAACGAACAGCTTTTAGCTGGATAAGTGATACAAAATAAACAGCATTGCGTATACCGATTCCATAATTTGAAATAATAGTGAAATTATGTATGAAAATGACATAAAAACAAAATTATATTTATAAAAAAAAAAGAATATAAGTAGAAAAACAATGATTGACTTCGAAATTATTGAAAATTTATTAAATCGCTATTAGGTTAAGTTTAGTTAATAATTAATGGTAATGGTTGCCAATTTGTAATGGGAATTTATGTTTTTAATAATAATTTTAGTAACCTAAATAGCAAGAAACAACATAATACCAATGTCTGTAGAATTCGAGTGGTCTTCAAATTTTTCTCTACTAAAAAAATTCAGAGTAGCCCATTATATCTTCTGATACTTTGGAGGTATCTTTAATAAAACCTCCAAAGTGGATAACAGGGATCTAAATATGAACTAAAACGAATTCTAGGCAAACATGTGCTTTTGTTCAATACATATTTGTTTCAATACAACAGTCTAAGGTGAGTAAAAGAAATCTTATGTATGTTTGTGATTGGACAACTTTTTTCTTTATTTCGTATTATTGTATGGATCGTTTAGAACTATAATGCACAAAGTAGAATAAATGGGTATATACTATATGTAATGCTGTAATAATAGTATAAGAAAAAATATTCTGAAATATAATAGCGACTGACTTGAAAGTAAAGTTCAAGGGCGCGCATTATAAACGATGTTTACGAACACAAATAGTTTTTAATAAAATCTTATGAATGATTACATTTATAAATTTATAAGAATTGGACATTTGGATATGAACAGATATATTGTTATTGTAAAGAAATAAAAATATGAGATCGAATAAGGAATTCAATTTGTATTTGATGTTATTTCCTTTAAAACCCAACTGCTGTTTTGGAAAAGACTTCAATGAAAAACTCCTAAATATTCAAACTGAAATAAACTACACAAATCATATTAATTATCTTTTAGCAGTCGATATTTGTAGTACTAGTTTCCTAGTAAGTATAGTTACTTGTTTAATTCACTATATACATATAGTCCATCACTTATGAGTAATAACCTTTCCCATATTATTATTCAAATAATTAATATTTTTTCGAAATGTCAATTGTCTGTTTCAAGTATGTAGTTTCGTTAAGTGTACCAGTCTACAATAAATAGTTTTCTGACGCAGACATTACATTGCAGTGGAAGTTTTACACAGGGTTTGTTTTATACTAAATTACACGAATTTTGAAATAAATGTCCCGTTACCACGGGTGACATCAAAGTTTGTTACTCGCACCAACTCCTTCAATATGTATAATAAGTACACAATGTCGTGGTATCCACAACTATAAAAATACGTTAATTGCTTCAGCACAGCGTTTGCAATAAGAAACACAGTTTTGGTTTGTAATAATAATATTTATTAAAAGTATTTTATATTAGATTACAGTTGCAATGGTTTGGGACTTGGATGAAATATTCTTATCAAAACAAATAACTTTTGTAGGTATGTTTATATTTGGTATGTTTATAATTTCTTAACCTAACCTAACCTTACCATTACATTAGCATTATCTTTATCGTTAACGTTATCCTCTTTTCTGTGAATCACAAAGACAAAAACCATGGTTACCACACATACCAAAGTTACTAAAAATACCATGGTTACCACACATACCAAGGTATGTGTATAACTACACATGACAAGGTTACTATATGCATCAAAATAAAATAACCAAACTAAAAATTACATAAATTTGTAGATAACAAATTCAAAAAAAATATGTTAGCGTTTGAATTTTTTATTTTCATTTATCTGTTCATTAGCTATGGCCTATGACTTTTTATATATATTACATTTCCTCATAATAATTATCATATTTCTTCAATTTTCCAAAACTGGTAGCACATAAAATTCATATTTATGTTTGCATTGTCCAATTGGCGATAACATTCTAAGAACTAGGACGTCACTATAAAATATTCTGAAATAACGATAGACAAACGGTTCTTATCTACAGATTACTTAGATTATAGGTTATTCATTATATCTGATTATGATTCAGAGTACAGTAACAGGTCAAATTATTTTTATGCTATGTAATAAAACTACTCGTATTTGTAGTAACGATTGAATTTTGAAAATATTAAGAAATACAGTCAAAAATCAAATCTTTATAAAGTCATAACAAATGAACAAATAAATTAAAATTCAAAATTCAAACGCTAACACATTTTTTTTATTTTTTGTCTACAAATTTATGTAGTTAAAACATATTTCGCCATTTAAAAAATCAAAAATCTCCCTTTTTGGCTTATAAGTATTGGTGATAAAAATTTTCAAAATATTGAAAAATGTAGTAAAATATGTACCTACAAGTTTAAGGAAAAAAAAATTCTCAAAATATTCATGTGTTTAGAGAAAATGAGTGCCTTACGTTAGTTGGATCACCCTGTATACAGTATCGTATTTATACGTCTAATTTTCTGAATTATAACTTATAAACTCTTAACCTGTTTAATACATATTATGAATTGTAAAAAATCACTTATTTACGTTTATGAACAATGCATTTCATTTAAAATTTAAATACCAATAATTTTTAAGCAGTCAGTAGTGGAGGAATACGTTATTAGCAGACTAATCAATACAAACAAACAGTTTAAGTTAACCACAATTAACACTCAACATGTTCATGTTACTCAATAGAACCTTTTGTAAATTTGCATTTTACTAATTAAGCTAATTTAACACTATAGTATATGAGCATGACCAACACCCTTCTCTCACACACATAATTTCCTCCTCAGAAGCAAAATATATTATCATATTTGATAAAAAAAACCTAATTGCCTACTTCTAATAAATAAAGAGAAAATTCCTATTGCTTTTTTATTTTTGTGTATTTGATTTTTATAGTGAAACCATTGAATAAATATTAATTGTATTAAATCAAAGGTGAAATATAATAATTAATAGTAATATATTAAATATTGTAACTAATATAACTCATAGCTGTTTTATGAACAATTGCATGTATAACTATCTATTATCAAAATAATACTCAAAATAAATAATTAAATAAAAATGTATATTTAATCGATAAAATCATATGGCTTTTACGGTTTGACCTACACTTAAATTTCAATTTCATTTAAATATTATACGACGAATTAACTGATCATTGATAAAATAACAGTAATATTTCCAGTTACCATTTAAATATTAAAATAATTACACAACCAAAAAACACTATATGTAAATGTATTGATTATGAAACTCAATTATTAACATATGAGAGTGTCAATTAAATGTTAAAAATATATTTTTTAGTTACAATATGTAAAAGAAATTGCCTACATCTTAGGTGTTGTCACGTATTAATGAAAATAATTCTTTCCCGTATAGTTTATTACACCTGTGGGTATTATCAGGTTTTAATCCTAGATCGGATGGTCGTCGACACCCGGTCGTTAATCCCAGCGCTGTAACTCGATATCGACATGGCAAAGAATTTATCCTGTCCGCACCTGTCGTATACATGTATATAATAAAACAAATCTTATCTTACAGTGTCAATTGTAATTTACCTAATATTGTGGCCAATGACAATGTTGTGTATAATAATATCGCGTTCGGTGTAATATAGTAGTAATATTATATTGTTCATTTCAAGACGAGGCTCGCCAGTTATATAATATGGAACTTGGATTCATATTATAAGCCGGCGTTACAATAATAACAATAAGTGACCGTTCAAAGATTTTGCAGATATATGACCTTCTGGTGTCGTCTTTGTCAAAAGAAAAAAACAAAATACATGTAAACAGAAATCCTTAGAAAGTACAACATCATCCAATGCATTCGCTCGGTTGGCATGTTTTGTAAACGCACGCACAACAGTGTTACTATCGCTCACGAGGCGTCGGGTCAACGTCATTGGAGCCTTTATTTTAGCGCTGAACTCTTGGAGAATCGATAGACCGGAGTCATAACGCTACCGACCATGTTCCAGGCAAACACCAGCAAGTTACCTATTGTTTTTCATTACAGCAAACGCAATTGAAATGTGCAAGTGATCGCTGCGGTGTTAATGTTTTCGACGACCGTGTGACATGATATGGGCCAACACACGACTGACGAAGACTGGAGGGCGTTCGACATCTTATGCGGTCAAAGAGTAAAATATCGTTTAATATACCGTCTTTGATCACCTGACTAGTTCACGTACAGTTGTATACGAGTGTTTCCAAAAGCGTCATTTATAAAGCACTTGCATATTTGCACAAGTTCTCGTTAATTGTTTCAATTCTTATTTTGACCTACTAAACACTGATTCTACGTACAAACGTTTGAAATAAGCTTAAGTTTTAGGCCGGTAAACTTGTGGCGCTTCGCATTGCTCAAAATATATAAATATATAGTAGGTATGTACCTATTGTGTATGCTCATAAAATCAAAAATGATGTTAGTTTTTATAACCGTGCAGCACTTAGAATTAGATATGTGTAATTATTTACTTCAAAATCATTAAATCTTTTGTAGACTTTTAATGAGTTAAGCCAAGAAAAACAGTTAAATTGTTTATTTTCACGGGAAAAAATATTTTCTAAAAAAAATATAACGCAGAAACTTAATGTGCGTCATAAAATACAATATCGGTAACAAACTACCAAACATTCTGTTTATTTTCTTCAGTTTAGTGAAATCAAACATGCATATTGCACATGCTAGAATCCTTTTGACCTAATATAGCTTGACGGCTGTCTACTGCGTTCAATTTTAGAACATATTAACTAAAATCAAAAGTTAATTTGATAGAGGTGTTTTCAGCGAGTAACTATCGTGTACACGTCATACCTTTAATCAGCTGGATTCGAGGTGAATTAATAGTTTTTGACGATTGATTTTTCGGCCTACTATTGTGTCATTTGGGTTTTTTATGATTTATAAAGGGACACACGCACAATCGTGAACGGTGACCCAACTAGGTACCAGGCGAGTGGTAGTGCTGAATATTCGCAAGGTTGCTTATACGAATGAAGGCTCCAAGTGCGTGCCCTCGTTTATGTAGGGTTATTTCTTAGCAATACATTCTCGTTGGAAATCTATACACATATTGTAATAATAAAATCGGGTCTATTGTTTTCATTCGTTAAAAATATGCCTAGAATATACCATAGCAGGTTAACCTAGTTATTAAGACAACCCCAGATAGGTACATGTTTTTTTCATGTTATTTCGTTTGACATGCGAATCGATAAATTCCATTGGACCTTTATGATGCACGCACTATTTTGTTACTACGCACTAGGCGGTTTTGTTTAGTGTTCGATTTGCTCACCGACTTGTAAGTAGTTAGTAGGGCTACCGGTATTTGGCTCTTGGTGTTATTTATTTAATTTGTTTTCTAGTTGTTTAGTACTTCAAATCGTATCAGTAATTAATATGACATAACGAAATAAATTGTCATGTTTTAAAAATATTTTCCGAGCACAATTAACAATATTCTGTAGTGTGTTGCGTGTGCGTGATACTAGATCATTTGTAGAATTCAAACGTACGTGGAACCGAAGGTAAATCATATTTTCATTATTTCTTGTGGGTTTCGCTAAAGCAATATTATTTCAACGAAAAATAAAACATCGGTTACAATATTCAACATTTTTGTCAACTCGTACGTAATCTGACTTTTAGATGGACACTGAAGATACGATTAGCAATCGCGAAATGATATCTACACTGAAAAGCGAATTGGCCGCATTGCAGTTCAAAAGAGACCGTCTTATATCCGAGGTTAGAGTCAATGGTATTCTTCATTTAATTTCACAATTACAAAAAAATCTACATTTCTTAGCTGCAAGATACCAGAGGTCAGTTGCGGTCAAGAGATCAAAGAACATTCGAACTTGAAGCCGAGACGGAAATGCTTAAAGAACAACAAGTCAGGCAAAACTCTATAATAGCAAGTTTAAGGACCAGGATAAAGGTATTGTCAGTTTTATCGCTTATCAATTATACTTCACAAGTTCATTAAATATTATTTTTTTAACAAGAAAATAAACCTCACTCGTGATCAGTATTTTCTAGGAAGATAAAACCAATACAAATTAAATTGATTGATAACATTTCATTGTTCAGCTGTAGTGATTGTAAAATTCCAACAAAAACGAACTCAGATACTGAAAATCACATTTTTAAAAAAATTATTTATTATTTTCAGTCGTAAATAAATAGTTAACAGCGCCGTTCAATGATTTATAATAAGTATAAAGCAATATAATAAGAGGCATAATTAAATTTCAGGAACTAGAAGAACAAGAGAGATCATTAACTACATCATTAGGTAGAGCGGAACTATCTTCAGAGTCGTTGGCCAGGGAAACCCGTCACCAAGCTGAAAAATGCGCTGAATTGGAACGTAAAATAGATTTGCTTGAATTGAACTGTACTCAAGCCGAAAACGCTAGAGATTCGGCCAAAAGATCTATGGCGGAATTTGTGAGTAGAGCATCGATGGCCATAGGTTATGAATCCTTGACTTCCGACTCACCATCGGCTGTAGACGTCGTTCTATCTAAGGCATCTGAAATGCACCAGGTAAGTTTTTCTTTACATGATAATCATCAAGTAAAGTATATTTATTTTATAATATTTAGGAATTGACAAGACTTCGGCGAAAAAATATCAACGCTAACGAAAACTTGAGCTCCGTCGAAATGGAATTAAGACAGTGTCGAGATCATTTGGAAAGAGCATTAGCGGACAAGGAAAACCTTCAAAGACAAGCGGCTGGTCACATACTCGAGATTGATAAGTTAAAACAAGTATGGTCACACAAGTATGGTAATAGTACATTGATCGCTGTTCAAACCGTAAACATTTAAATAAAACCATTGATACTTTTACATTATACAGACATTCCATTTGTAGTTACAGCAGTTAACATGATTTCAAGAGAAGCCTTTGAAAGTATAGATAGTCTGTACAATATTTTTATTTATATTTAATAGTCTTTATATCATGATAGCTGCTTCCATTTTTAGCAACAAAATGCCTATGTGTGTACTTTTAAATCAATGATATTTTACCATTGCCCTGAAGGGAATAAATACATTTTTTTCTTTGGATGTATAGGAAAAAGAACATTTAGAAATGCAACAAAGGGTAATGGAACGAGAATTATCCGATCTCAGAGAGAAACTTGCCGCCACCAACAGGAGCTTGGGAGTCACGTCGAATAGCTTAGCTAGCCAGGAAGCCACCATTTCTACTCTTCGCAGTAATAATTAAAACGTTTCAATTAAATGTATGTGTTTCTTACGTTTCATTTGTTTATTTTTTTAAGATGACCTGAGAGGAAATGATGAAAAATGTCAAAGACTGCAAACTGACATGCACAATTTCCTCGAATCCTTAGCTGTGTGTTTGACTTCAGCAGACGGATATGTTCAATCGACCGAGAGTGCGGTAAAGGATGCGGTGAAAAGACTCGTTACCGAGTTAGCCACAAAAAACACAGTAAATGGCCAGTACCGTGAGACTCAAGGCTTGTTAAGCATATTTTTTAAAAATGCGTAGTTACACGAAGAATCCAAGGACAGGATAATCAAATTGACGGACCGCGTCGAACGTTTGCAAATAGACCAAGACAAAGTGGCGCTAGACAACCGAGTATTAGCCGATGAGAAACGCAACCTAGAGGCACGCCTAAACAACGTCGAGAGCGAACTTAATGTATGCGAGATGACCAAAGAACACTTACGTAACGACAAAACCATTGTAAGTAAAATCCAAGTCACACAATTTTAGTTGTCTCTTTCGTTTTCTAACGTTAAAAACAGTACTCGTTTAGATGCTCTTAATAGAGGAACGTAGCAGGGACAATCCCCTGCCATGCCTCTTGTTAGATGTTCTTAAGTTATTTATGTTCTGCTCTTATCGAAAGTTTCATCCTAATTCCTGTATTTTATAAAAATGTGGTATTTAAAAATATTGTACTAAATATGATATTTCAGGGCTTAAAATATAAAACCAAGAATTATTAGAGTTTAAAGAGTAAATGACTAAGATGTAAGGTTGATGTATTTTACATTTCGTAAATGACTAACTTGATATATAGTCTAAACACTATAAAAAGGGATAATCGATTTTGTTTACTTTAGTTTGTTACTTTTCTCGACAAATTATCAAGAGCGATGCACATGGACCAAATAGCTAAAGACGTTGGAGTAGATCTTCACACCGAATCGCTGTTGTTGAGAGCCGAACAACTGGCTAAACTTGAGTATGACAAAAACATCGATAAGGTATGAACTCACTAAATCCGTCGACGCTTCTCGTTTATGATGTTATCTTATTTTGTTTTCTTCGTGGGGATAGTTACTGCTCGGTTATCCTTATACAACGTCATTAGCCAGGCAACGTTTATATAGCGATTTACCTTACAGAGAAGTATTTCCAACAACGTTCTATCTTTATATTATATTTATTTACTATTGTTTTTATAAAATTATTTCTTTTACACACATTTTAATCGTAGTTCGTTATGATCAGCTGTAGTAATCTCTTAACGTGCGTGTGCATTCATACGAAACGGCTTAATTAAATTTACTTTGTGTAGATTTTAATGGCGCTTTTGAGTCCCTCGTTGCTGCGTAAGTATTTTTTTTAATACATCTGTATGTACTTTGGACTATATAACTATAGTTTAGGCTAACGTACTTTTAACCTTATATATACAACATTATCGTGGTTTATATTTTATTACCATTATTATTATTATATCATTGTTCGCGTAACGATCACAGTATACTATTATAAACATTGTATTTTTAAGAAAATAGGAAGGCTATTGTTACAACTTAAGTACAAGCAATGCCGTTGTAGTACCCACGTAAGCCGTAACCGTCGAATTCGAAGTAATATAATTTCGACCACTTATATATTATGTACGCCATCGGCTTCGTTAAGAATATTCTGTATTTTTTTAATTTTATGCGTTTCTCGGTTAATAAGGATAGGTATAACTTACATGTTTTTTCATAGAGCGCCCTCGTGTACCAGCTGCAAAGAAGAGTACGTACGTTGAGAGATCAACTACAAAGGCGCGATCTTCATCTTGATTTGTTGCGACGGAAAATTAACGTGCAAGATGAGAGCACGAAAATGCGTACCCTAATGCAAACCGAAAGAGACGAGGCCAATCTACGGTAAGTACGACGAATTTACGGAATTGGATATTAAATCGGTATTTAAATCACGCGGTGTTTAGAGCAAAAAAGTTGCAAAAGCAATTAGACAAAACGCAGTTACAGTTGGCTGAATGCAAAGGTCAGATTAGAGACCTAAAACTACAGCTCTCGGATGCCGGCGACTGCAAGGTTATGTTTGTTAACTAAAACTAGTCCCGCGACCTAAACTAGTCCGTTCTACGTGACTCGGCGTGATCTTAACATAGTATCGTTGTAACGTTTTAGTTGACTTCACTGGAAAGAGCAAAGAAAATCGAAGACCTCGAAAAGCGTTTGGTCGAATCCGAAATGTTACGCATGCGTTTTTCACGAAAAGTAACTGTCCTAAAGGAACAGGTAAAACAATTTAACCCGTTTAGATTTTATCTTAGGCGAAACACTTTTCAATTAATTTCGTACTCGCTTTTCGTTTACATAAATTTTGCTATTTCCATCACATTTAAAACTCGTTATATAAGCTAAAAGCTAAATTTACAAGAACAACTTACAAATGCCGTTAGTTACAACGCGCATGCGTGACAATAAAAAAAACAATGCGATTTACAGCTGAAATCTTGTACGGAATCGCAGGAACAAGAGAAAACTCTTAACGATCACAGCATGCGGATCCTACACGATGATCTGGCGTCAATCAAATTCCAGCTTAGCGAAGTCAAACGTCGAGAATGTTCTGTAAGTCAAATGGGGTTTCTATTATTATCGCGCTTTGGACCATTGAAGTTTGAACGATTTAAATAAATAATACTGGTCGTTTACAGCTTGAAGACTTCCGCCGGGCTGTGCTCGGCCTGTTGGCGCTGGATTCTTCTTCAACGGATTATGAAATAACGTCAAAGATTTCTAAACTAGTGGCCGCCCACAGAGAGTTTTCTATTTTGTCCAAGAGATATGACGACCCGTTGCCGACCTATGCTCATAACGCGCCATCCGAGTCGTCAGACCCGACGGTGGACGACTTTGAAATCTTGAACAACGCGTACAACAAAAGACCGTTAAGAAAGACTTGAAAGCCCTAAAAATCCTAGACGAAGGACTAACTCCATTCTCTCGTCCTAGATCATATCGTCTCTAACCTATCGCATATTTTTTATTCACCTCAACTCGCCATTAGTTATATCGCGGTTGGCTACTAAAGGTGTAATGTATGAAGCTCATGAGTATTTTTAGGTATCGCATAGGTTATAGCAGTTGAAACCTCGTTATACAGACTGTATTACCGTTTAAGACATTTCCATTGTATGCTAATAAGTATATCCTATAGAAACTACCGCTAAAGGTGAAACACGTTCTTCTATCCTTTATTCGTGGAAACTATATTATTAATAATGGTATTTATAAATTATTTAAGTATTAAATTTAATAAGTACGTTAACGTTTCAAAATTTAACACGGGATAACGTTTTATACAAACAAATAGGTGTAATTCGGGAGAAAGTCAAATACTAAGGTTAGGGCAAGTAGTGTAACAATTTAAAGCCAATAATAATACAATGTACTCTTTGCCAAAAACCTGATACAATAGTTTTTGTCATTAACAAGTTACACATTAGAGCGGTTGTAATGGTTGATTAGTTAGCTTTATTTTAATATATTCATGCGACTAATAAATATAACTCATTATACTTATTAGTTGTCTTAAAAACTTTAAATTAACTTTTTAAGCCGTTCGTGTCTGACGGTTGACCTTGTAATACTATATAAAACATAAGATATTAGCTTGCCAGACCTAATCTATAACAACTGTAATTGTTATGTGACATGCACAACAAGGTACAGTTAAATGTATTTAAGTTGATTTCGTATCTTAATGTCACCAACGATGGGAATATCCGAATTTTAAGCTTCTTAATTTGACGGATTATCCGGGTTTTTTCTAATTAATTTTTTTATCCAAATTAATAAAAAAACTACTATTTTAAATAAATGTCATAAACCTAGATAGGTAATAGATGTATAGTGTATATAAGTTTTTAAACAAATATTTTATTATTTAGCCTTATTTATAAAAGGAAAAATTCAGATAATCTGATATATCAATATTTCCCAAAAACCAAACGCTTATTTATTATTTTCCTTTGCAAATCTCATAAAAATTTAGTAAAATGAAAATGAGTGGAATGGCTTCTTATCTATTTGGTGGAAACGAAGTGTTTGATTTTAGAATAGCACTACTTGTTGTATTTTACATAACATTGTATAAAACAAAAAAACATCCAGAACACAACAAAACTTTTTTATTTATATTTCAACTAATCTCTATATCATGTGACTGAGATTTTTCAATGTTTTAGCATGCTTTTAAAAAAACAGTTCTGTCTCTTTGAATATTTAAATAATTTGTAATTTCCACGAATATTTAAAGAATAATTCAAGCAAAAATGCTAGTTACTTTTTATGGTGCCTTGTGAAACTATGCGATGCTAATTCTAACAATAATTATACTATTGGTTAAGAAAACATTATTATTGTACTAATCGGTGCAGTGTTTTAACGATTGCGTATAATTGTTGATACATTAAATAGTTAATTTTTACTCGGTTTTGATTGAAATAAAATTGCCAGTTTGCGATCGTGAGGACATAATAGATCGATCGGTCCATTACTATGGTTTAATAATAATTAATATTTATTTATGTTGATCTTGTTTGTTCTTGTCAATAGTTATTATATTATAATAATTGCATAATATCGTTGTTGACAAAACATGTGTTCATGCTGCTGTTACAGTATTATAATAAATTGCCATTAAGCGTATAATATAAATATTGTTGAAATATTTTAAACCATACTAATTAGTAATTACAACGACGAAACTATTCTAAACGTTAAAACGTTTGCATACTTCCGTATACACCGATATACTTACACAAATTATAATATGGATATGCATATGTATATGGAGTGATTTTCAGAAACGATCAGCAACAGCGCATGCGACAACGTTTTTTCTTACCTATGTGATTATTTCATTGTTCTTTATGTCTGTTGTCGTTATTTCTTTTTTTTTTCTTTTGCGGTGACGATTTCGACGACGTCGTTTGCGGACCCAAGACTGTGCAAATCGAATCAATATTTTTCATCAATGCACCGCGACTAATGGGCCGAGGACAAATTATATTTTGTGAAAATATAATATAACGACGATACACCGCCGCGTTGTTTCGCCCGTGTTTCTTTTTTAAGTCTTATTTTTTTTTTCAGTCATTATCATCATAATACTTGTACATACTACACACCAATGACGAAATCTCGCCAACGGATCCCCGGTAGGTATACAGCTGTGTGTGTGTGTTCTACTTTCACGAGCGAGCCCGTTAAACGGCTCCTGTGGAGGCGTACGTTTTGTATTAAGTGTCCGTTTGACTTGATGTGTAAAAGACATACACCGCCAGAGCCCAGAAGTATATATATCATACTTACTTAGATTCGTAAACAATCGCTCATTTTGGTGTCCGAATGTCAGAACACTTTCCTATGTACAACACACACACACGCGGCGAACGTGTCATCGCTGCAATTATTACTATTAATTCACACTATTATAACCGAATAATTATTATTAGTGAATGGAATAAACGATGTGAAATTTGTCCTTTTTCGCACCCGTATGAAAAATCCTATGCGCATGTGTAAAATTTACTCGGTTTAAACGCCGGCAGCTAATGTGGATTTCACCGGCATCGGACACCGTTGTCTTGCAAAATATCCACGAAGCAATTAAATCAATTCCGCCTGGCAAAATAGATAAATACAACTAATACTATTTTGTATTTTGAGGTTATTGGATAAGCAGAGAATCTTCAGTATGAATGTAAAACGTGCTATTAAACCAAAGGATTGCGCAGAGTCGTAGCCGAAATCACATTATTTAGAGTGTAACCTTTTTTTCGTTTGAATCGATTTCGTGAGTATACCACTATAGGTGAACGTGGGCAATAACCGCAAGAACAATAACATCAGTATTAATTACATTTCACAACAGGTACATTAGCAACATGGGGTTCTGTACAATCCATAACGTAGTACTTTACTGTATATTAAACAAGAGTGCTTAATGAAAATCATACTGCTCTACAACGTAATTGGTGTACAAATTAAAACCAACGGAATATATTATTATTTAGATTTTTAAAACCATAATCAAAACTAATATAATGAATAATTCAAGTAACAAATAAAAAGAAATCAATACAATATGTAAAGGTATGTGTGTAACTGTATAATTATTATATCAATAGCTGTATCGCATGAGAACGTCCGCGTGCCCCGTTTATTTATTAATTAATAATATCATGCCACATGTGCTAATAAAATTAATAAATATATAATCACGGAGTAATCATTATTTATTGACCAACCTAACTAACTAATATGTACAATGGCTAAATTAAAACTCCGATTTCTAAAAACCAAACAACTATTATTTTAAACTTTTATTATAAGTTGATAACAAATTGCAATTGATTAACTTCGGAGCAAATCTGAAAACATTAATTTTTTTGGCTTGTATATTAAAAGTACACAGCTTAATATTTACAGAAATAGAATAAATAAAATATTACTTAACTATTGATCTAAATAAAAACTAAATTAAAAAAAAAAGATTATTTACTCTATGCTAGTGATAGAATAATAATTGAGTGTAAATAACAAAAATATTGCGCAGAGAAAGAAATTACAAATTTTAAGATGTAAATCATACATTTTAGGCACGACAGTCATAGAAAATATTAAAACAGTCACAAAAAGCTTTATCGTTACAAAGAGAGCAATTTATAGAGAGCAACATTAATGATGATAAAAATAATAAAACAGCAAGAGATGATGACTCATCCTCAATCAGAAAAAACTATTTAATATATGTTTTTTCAAATAGTTAGATTCTGTAAATACATAATTATCGTGGAATCCGATGACAGATGGCAAATAGTATAATTTGGTGTCTGAATTTATTATCGCGTTTATGACTAATGGAACCGAATTTCAAATCACGTGTGCAAGATATTTAACTTTCTTTGTAAGTTGTAAATATATAAGCTTACACGTGTATAAAATTCTCATCCTATCAGGACCCAATATCTCCGTATGCGATGTACGAGTGTTTTCTGAATAATTATCTACCTAGTAGAAATGTTTATTTAAATTTTGTTCTACACCGATAACTGATTTAAGTAGCTGTTGCTAATTCGTATTGTTTATTCTAGACCATTTCCTTTGATCGACCTTCCAAATTAGTTACAAATAAAGACTTTGCTGTTTAAACACATCAAGGTCGTTTCAATAAAGGAAATCTGTTTTTGAACAAAGGATGTGACGCATATAAATATTATGATAATGCAAAAACTAGATTTGCGTGCACATTTCCTTCGGTGTACTTAATTGTATTTTTCCGAAGTACCGTTTATGGGCCTCAATTGTCATAAATTATTATTTACGTGTAATTTTGTTTTTACTCGTTTCCAGAAGGACTCGAGTAAGTTTTCATGTGTCAGAGTTTGAGTACAACTACATATATGAAAGTTATCCAATCGTACGTTTGTACACAATACTGTATACACGCGGTAGTAAACTGTACATTTCTTATCATTAAAATAATAACGTTTGCGTGTCACCGAGAAAAAAAAGAAAAAACAATATTCACTTTGCATGCATATACTGAAATCGGCCATATGAGGTGGTTTGAGCATTGTTTGTACTGTGCGTTCCTAGAGCAACGCGGCTGAATACAATAACAATATTATGTGCAGCTTATTTATTATTGAAGTTCATAAAAATCGGTCCCACGAGTAGGACAATCGTGAAATTTGTTTTTGTAACGAAGAATACACGTGCAGTATAATGTATGTTTGTGTGAGTGTGTTATTACCTGTGTATAATATATCTACTATTAAGTGCATAGTAGTAACGACATTGCGTGAACGGCGGTTTAGACTAGTCACGTTTCGAAGACGAATCGCGACCGGATGACATCACGCGGTGGTTGTTGGGACCAAATTTTATGCACGTGAAACACAGTTAAATTGATTTTCAAACCGAAAAATCGGAACGCCATTTACCATTGCTAAATTCCGTCCGAATCATCATACATGTACTATGTCAGACATAGTACATGCACAGCGACTGATAAAAAGTACCGGAAAAATTATTATACAAGGTAGAAACGTATACGAACGAAATTGACTTGATTATTGATTCTCCATATATATTTTGTGTCCATACATTGCACAAATAATTGTATCGCACAATTTCGTTTATCATTAGTGTTTGTAAAGTGTGTCATCTGATTTCGAAGTGATTTAAAGTCGGGACAGTTAAAACAATAATAAAAAAGTAGTCCCTGAGTTGTGGTATATCGCCTAGCTTTCAGCACATTCAGGCAGATGTCACAAATACCATGGACATCAGGCAAATCGCCATCCTCTTCCTTCAGCAGTGAACAGTTAAGCAGAGACATTAAACGATAACCGAATGGCAATATTATATTGTAGTGACCACCAGATAAACAACCGTTTCGAAACATTGATTACAAATGCTAATGATAAAACTCTAACGTTTTGGTAATGGATATTACTGTCAGTATTCATCCTGAAAGATATTTTTTGGTCTGGCCAACGCATTGCCAGTTTTTCCATAAAACCGAATACACGTGATGAAATATTTTAGTAGTAGTATCGACGTCAACGTTAATTTTGATAACAATGCACACGTGGGATGCGTCGATTTGGCCTTGCCATCACGACCAAAGAATCCATGTGTCTATTGTACTGAGCATTCTGTGTGGATTTGCGATTATCACTGTGTATATTCGCTGTACTCTACTATGATTTGTGTAATTTCATAAATGGTATGTTATTTGACCATATTTTAAAATTAATGAATACCTACATAATATAATGGTTAATTAGTAGAAATGTTATACTGTTACATTTGTATTAATTATAAAGTTTTCGATATTTAAATATGCCTCTTTTGACGTTCTAGGAAAAAGTAATTACAATTTTTTTCTTTGTACGTTTCGTCATTTGTAATACAAGTTTTGTATTACAATTACATTTAGTTGATAAATGATTATATACGAGCTTAATACTGCAGCATGTAAAC